CACCCCCCTCTCTTTTGGAGACCGTATGCATTTTGTGACAAGCAGTTGTGTATACTTCACCTGAAAGTGCTGTGTGGCCCAGGTTCAGTAGTACTTTTTTTTATAAGCTGTAATTGCTACATTTCTCTCCCTTCATCTGCTACAATTCTGTTCCAAATGCCAGCTGGGTTGAGAGCACAATGCCTGCCTTCTGGGACTGGTTATGGCATGTCTGAAAAGAGAACTGTGATATATAGAACAGGTATTCAGGCAATAAGTCCATTATTAGCTATGCAACTTGCAGTCCCTTCTCAAGCTAGAGATTTAAGTAGAATTGTAAAGTGAGTTACAATTCTGCCTATTCTTACATTAAAATATTTTACACAAAATACTGTTCATTATCTGAAAATTAAATAGTGCATTGCATTAGAAATAATAGTAATCATTTAGTAATTTTGTTAAATTATAGTCTGCTTTTCACATCTAGTCTTACTTCCTTTTTCTTTCTTCTTTTCAAATTCAGTTCTTCTCAACCCAAACTAACATGCATTATGAGACTTTTAGAAGTGGGATTTTAAAAATGCTAGTTTGAAGGAAGCCTGTCAACTTACATTATACAAAATATACGGTGCCCTCTCAGCTTTCATCTTGCAGCCCAGAGTGTAGCTATAACCATTATATTATGATAGCTTTATCCTCATCCCTAACATAATTAGTACCTTACATAATTAAGATTAATGGGATATACTGGAGAGAGCGGTGAACTTAGAGATAAAGTAATGACAAAATTTTCATTTTTTCAGTATTAATTTGCTGTTCTCCACCAGATGTTCTGTCACATCTGTTTTCTCCATTACACCCTCTTAGAAAACATTCTATTTCTCTTCAGTGAATATTCCTCTGGGCCTTCTTTTAAGAAAGTGTGATTGTATTCAAGGAACTTTTTGTATGGTAGTTGAGCTCCTCCATCCGCTTGTTCAGAGATAGCAACTTCAGTATTTTTTCTGTTTTGCAAAAGTCTGTATAGAGTCCAAAGCCTTTTACTAGCCTCAGCACTGCTTCTGCTTTGCAAACTTTACAATATTATTTCTACTTTGTAATTATAGTTCTTGGTTTTGAATGCCATGTTCATTGCTGTTACGCATTTACATTGTCCTCCTTGATGGATAAGAAACAGCCCTGTTTAAAAGGCAATTTATAATATAAAAGTTAGAAAAAATACAATAAAAGACCCATGGAGAACCAGTGTTCTTCCCTACAGGGAGGATTTGATAGTGAGAGGGAACAAAAACATTAACAAGTCTTCCAAACCTATTCCAGTCTGGAGAGCACAGCCAACAATATGCTGTCTCCTTGTACAAGGACTGACACTGGCACAGGTAATATGCTTCTCTTCTAACTGTCCTTCTCCCAGGGACTTAAGGAGCCCAGTTCACTAGTTTTCTGTCCAGTTTCACACGGCAGGTCTGGTGCAGAAAGTTCATGGCTGTATGCAATTCAAGCAAGTGTAAATGTTTTTATAGCAGTCAACTGGGACTTTCTGTCTACCCAACAAAAGTTCAGCATGTTGTGGGTCCCCAATGCTCTTAACTATTAGT